CTCATTTTTTCCCATACTCCTCTCCTCCTTTTACCCCTCCCTGCTCCCCATTTACAAAGACTTTGTTTCCATTTTTTCATTTTCTCATATTTTTTCTTTTCCCTTATTACCTTTCCCCTACCCTTCCCGTGTCCCCTGCACCTTTAGCCCTTTCTTCCTATTTCTTTAGCCCATTTCTTCCTATTTCACATTGTCAATTATACAATTTGGGTCTTATTTACACTTTTAGTTTTTCATACCAGAGAAACTATTTGGTATTTACACTTCAATATGCATCCATTTTCCTATGAATGACTCTAGTTTCTCATTCTTTATGGCTGAGTAATATTCCATTTTATAGAAAACCACATTTTCTTTATCCAGTCTCCAACAGATGGGCAATTGGGCTATTTCCAAGTTTTAGCTATTACAAACTGTGCCACAATAAACATGGGTGTGCCTTTATCACTGTGGTATGATTCTTTTCATTATTTTGGAAAGACCCAGCAGAGGGTTAGCTGGGTCAAATGGAACCTCTAGTCCTAGTTCTTTGAGGTATCTCTGTATTTATTTGCACAGTGGTTGCACCAGTCTGCACTCCCACCAACAATGGAGAAGGGTTCCTTTCTCCCCACAACGCCACCAACATTTGTTATTGGTTGATTTCTTGACAGCAGCCATTCTCTCTGGGGTGAGGTGGAATCTCAGTGTTGTTTTCATCTGCATCTCTTGAATTACCAGTGATGTGGAACATTTTTTCATATGATTGTTTGCTGCTTTTACTTCTTTGTCTGAGAAATGTCTGTTCATTTCAGATGCCCATTTTTGAATTGGGTCATTATATTTGGGGGGCCTGATTTTTGAGTTCTTTATATGTGCTCATTTTCTTAATGATAAGAACAATAAATGTTTTATGCTCATTTTCTTATTTAAAAAAAAAATTTGGCACTGGTGATCAAACTCGGGATCTTGAGCTTGTGAGGCAGGCAGTAGAACCACTGAGCGGAATCCCCAGCCCTTAATGATAAGAATAATAGAAATGTGGCAAAGCTCAGACATTCCCTTGCATGTCACAAAGCCCTTTCCCCTCAGCTCGGCCAGCCAGGAGCAGCCAGTGTCTGTCCTGCACACGGTGGGTGTCTGCTATTTGCTGGACTGGGGACAGACGATGGTGGAGACTCCTGAAGATATAAGAAGTGTTGCTCCCTCCAAAATTAAAGTTTTTTTGTTTGAAACCAAATAATGCTGAAATTTAAAAATAAGTGAAATGTGACCTCTCCTAAGAAACAACACATTCTACACTGGCAGTATGACAGGGCAATTGCAGTAAAGCCCCCAAACAGATAAAAAGAACCCCCGGAGGATGGCCGGAGACACACGCCTGGTTGTGTTCACTTCGGTCCGAGTGACTGTCCTTGAATTTCCAGGTGTTACCAGTAAGCAGGACAAAGGAGCGGCACTGGCCAGGCTACCTGCTTAAAGCTTCTAGGGAGTCACAGCTGAGGAGTTGGGTTTTATCCTGTCCCCCACAGAGGCCCTTGGAGATGTTGAAGCCGCAGAAAAGTGGGAATCTGAACAGGTGTCTTGACCTTTCACCTCTCAAAGTCCTCACCAAAACTTGCACTGTTTTGATACCTTGCCAGTTCCATACTGTTGGCTTTTTACCCTTGATTAGGTTATATCAGAACTTGTTCATAATCACAGAACACTCTGCAGGAGTCAGCTGGGTTTCCACTGTGTGCCCCAATGGCTCATGTTTCAGGAGACCTGGTCCGCGTGTGCTGATTTTGATACCCGCAGGGTGGGAGTGTTAAGAGCTGTGTCTTCGTGGGAGGTCCGCAGCTCACTGGAGCGCTGCCCTCCAAAGGGGACCCTGAGTGCTGGGGGTGGGAGCGGGTGGTGACTCGAGTGGGCCCTCCCCACCCCACTTCCTGTGTGGAGCTCTTGTCCTCCCACAAGCACTCTCCAGTCTCCAGCCACAAGCTGCTCCCTGTCCTCATCCTGCAGGAGCTCCTCCCTAGAGCTGACCGTGGCCTGGGCCACACAGTTGGGACCTTCAGCCTCCAAAGCTGTGAGCTGCAGAAGCGTGCTGCTGTCACAGCTGACTGATACCATGTGCCCTTGGCACACAGGGACAGAGGGTACTCACAGAGAACACCTTGTCTTAACAAGGTGGGAGCCACCCAGGCCCTGTCACTCCCGAAGTGAGTCTCTTAGAAGTCACCTTCTCATCTGGGCTAGAGCTTTATGTGAGGCCCTAGGCCTCCGGCGGGGACTTGGTTTTCATGTGGCCACGTGGAAGTCTCCAGGGCGGCCTGGCTGAGGAGGGGGCACAGGGACACCAGCATGGCTTGGGGGATGGACCAGCACTGCCACTGGGTAAAGCAGGGAGCAAGGCGTGAACATAATAGCACATGGACGAGGTGACTTCATGGGGCTGGGAGTAGGGGGAGGGACAATTAGACAGGGCAGAAACCCAAGGGTCAGGCATCAATACAGAGACCAAAGTCCTACTTGCTGCCTACTAAGAGTGCTGCAGAGATGCCGGGAAGGCCCAGGAGGCAGGGCCAAGGTGTCTGCAACTGTGCAGCACTGTGCTCTGCTGCTGGGTCCTGCTGGGCCAGGACACAGAAGCCTCTGTGCTCTGGGTACTGAGTCAAGGACAGATGCTGATAAGACAGCCTTGTCCGTGGCTACTTTTTGAACAACTTAGTGCAGATAGTGGCCCTCCACTAGGCCGCACCTGGCCCGGGAGGGCAGCTGTCGTGCTGCAAACTGCTGGGAACTGTATCGACCATCTGCCTGTCTCCTGTCGTGGGGGCTGTGCACACCCCATGCCCCAGGGCTGGAGGCTGAACCCAGGGTGCTCTGTGGAGGATTGTGTGTGGGGTGCTACCGTGGCTGGATGATGGCTTTGACCTGGCTTCCCCTGGAGCCAAGCCAGAGAGAGTGGGGGCTCTGGTGTTGTCCAGACCTCAGTTCCAGGACTCCAGGCTTCCGGAGGAGCTGTGTCTTCCAGGAGAGCGGGGGCCCTCCCAAATGGGGAGCCAAGAGAGAGGCTGAGTTTGGGGTGGTAAATAGAGTTGATTAAAACTGTTATGAATGATTCAGATTCTGTGCAAAGGCTGTTGTTTCTACAACAGCAACAACTGATACGACCTGGGGGAGGAGGTGGCCCAGGTGCTCCTGGAGAAGACAGGAGCTCAGGCAGCTTCAGCCTCAGATGCCGCAGCACTGTGGCTCCCAAGTCCGGCACGCCGGAGGTGTGAGGCCTCACCTGGGTGTTCTGCCCTCCTGGCTGGGTTTTCTACACAGAGAAAGGGTGCTTCCTCTCTGGAAGGTGTCTCCCTGTGTGGGCCCAAGAGGCTGCTCCAGAAGGGGTGACAGAGCTTCAGGTCGGAACCTGGGCTGAGAGGGAGCCTGGAGGCTTGGAGAGGCCCAGGCCATGGAGCTGTCTGGGCTCTGTGCCCCTCGGTGGGGGGTATGGAGGACACACGGTACCCAGACAATGGGGTCCAGGCCCCCACTAGGTGCAGGGCGCAGCTGGCCCTACCGTCCCTCCCAGCACCCCATCCTTTTATCAGACAGCAAACTAGGTGGACAGGAAAGCAGGTCAGTGCAGAAGAGAGAGCACATCACAACTGGCTGGAGGCGCATGTGTCGAAGGTCAGGCCTCAAGGTAAAGTCGGAAGGACCTGAGCAGGCCTGCGTGCCTTGGATAAGCAAGAAGTTGAAACTTATAGTATATCTGGTATCACGTGGTCCAACAAAGCCTAGATAGACATCATTCACCCAGGTGAGCAGCCGGAACCTCTGGACCCTTCTCTTCCCCAGGTGCCTTTGCTCTCCCCATGGACCCTTATTACGGGACCCGCTTCCCTGTTGGATCAGCATTACCTGAGTGGCTACACTTGTGACTTTACTGGTTGGCAGTGGTTTGACCCACGTTGTACTCACCTGTGATTTTGCTCTATAAAACATTCTTAGAGAAGTGGCCTCGGAGGCTACCGACTTTCGGGTCCCTCCCTGTGTCTCAGGAGCTCTCGATACATCTTTCCTATGGAACCTCCTTGTCCCTTAGAATTCATTCTTCTATGTCGGAGTATACAAACTTGGGGTATCTTGACATCCAGCAGGTCCCAGAACCCTGGGCGCACAGGTCCCGGGCAGAGGCCCGCAAGGCGCCGGGTGGAGCCCGCGCCACGTGACCACGGGGCC